CAGGGAGACAGGAGAGAGGAGAGACCAACTCCTGAATGGTACATGGTGTCTTGTTGTTGGTTGAGTGAACACATTTCAGGTCATTTCTCTCAAAATGAGATTAACCTTTGCTCTCATGTTTGAGGGCAGTGGCAGCAGCTCCAGAGAAGCTCTCTCTGCAAAGACCAGAGGCAGACTAACAAAGGTAAAATAGGGTCTTTATTGTGCTTCTCTCAAATAAACAGAGCTAATTATATTATTTATTTATTTATTTATTTATTTATTTATTTATTTATTTAGAGGAGAAGAATTCTCGCTCTGTCACCAGGCAGGAGTACAGTGGCACGATCTCGGCTCACTGCAACCTCCATCTCCTGGGTTCAAGCGATTCTCCTGCCTCAGTCTCCCGAGTAGCTGGGACTACAGGCGAGCACCACCACACCTGGCTAATTTTTGTATTTTTAGTAGAGATCAAGTTTCACCATGTTGGCCAGGATGGTCTCGATCTCTTGACCTCGTGATCTGCCCGCCTTGGCCTCCCAAAGTGCTGGGATCATAGACGTGAGTACAACTATGAGTCACTACACCTGGCCCGCTAAATTAGACTTTAAAACCAAACAAAGTAGGCTCCCCCAGTGTGTTGAGTAGAAGAGCTTAACACTCACACACTTTTTTCCCCATTGTCCTACTCAAGGCAGCCATAGTTCCTTACCTGAGCAGGACAAGTAGTGTCAAGCGATAAGGTTGAATTTGAAGGCCAGGCCAGTCTTCCTGAAGGGCAGGTTAGCCTGCCCAAGCTCTCTCCTACCACCTGAACAATCATTCAGTCACATGGCACTGAATAGGTCTGCACTTGTCAAAATTATAGTCATTTTAGTCTTTTACCAGATGAGTTGTCATTCAGTGTACTAAGATGAGAGGATCAATGGGAAGAAAACTACAGTTAATTATTAACATCCATTAGCGTACTTCAGTATCATATTAGTTAATTGTTTCCCAGAAAGCAGCTGCCCAGAGGGAATGGGAGAGAGGGCAGGTAAGGCTTGATGGGCTGGAATAGACAGAGAAACAGGTCTGTGGTGACCTAGATGAAGGCCTGGGTAACCAGGAGTCTCAATTAGAAAAGAACACCAAACATTTTGCCTGCTCAATTACCTTTGAAGTTTTGGTGTGATTATTGGTCTCTCAGTCTTTATCCAGAGCAGTGGTGTTCAACTCTAGCTACCTATTAGCTAAATCACCTAGAGTTTTTAAAAAACATAGTGATGGCCGGGCACGGTGGTTGATGCCTGTGATCCCAGAACCTTGGGCGGCCAAGTTGGGCGGATCATGAGGTCAGGAGTTTGAGACCAGCCTGGTCAACATGGTGAAACCCCATCTCTACTAAAAATACAAAAATTAGCCGGGTGTGGTGGCATGTGCCTGTAGTCTCAGCTACTCAGGAGGCTGAGACAGGAGAATCGCTTAAACCCAGGAGGTAGAGGTTGCAGTGAGCCAAGACAGTGCCACTGCACTCCAGGCTGGGCACCAGAGTAAGACTCCATCTAAAACAAAACAAAACAAAACAAATCCATAATGATGCCTGGGCTGACCCCTGACCACACACTCAGAATTCCTGGGTGGTCAACCAGATAGTGGCAAATTTTTAAATGATCCCTAGGTTTTGTCTCTGTAGCTCCATTGGAGAACTGCTGCTTCACAGGTCACAACTTCTTCAGTATAGGGTACTAAGCTGTTGAAGTAGCTAATCAACCACCCAAAAACACATGTCCTTCTTATTTGGCAACTTGGGATTCCCGAGTTAAAATGATCAGTCAAAGGCCAACAGCACCACTTGCCAAATACAGTTTGGGCAGGAGTGAAGGTCAAAGAGAACTCTTGTAAGGCAAGTAGGTCTGAAATCCATGGCTGAAGGTCTGCAAAAAGCCCTTATCAGAGAAAGTTTGTCATAAATCGCCTGATCTTTTGGCTATTGGGACCACCAAGAAGTTGCCTCATTTTGGCCGGGCGCGGTGGCTCACGCCTGTAATCCCAGCACTTTGGGAGGCCGAGGCAGGTGGATCACGAGGTCAAGAGATCGAAACCATCCTGGTCAACATGGTGAAACCCCGTCTCTACTAAAAATACAAAAAATTAGCTGGGCATGGTGGCACGTGCTTATAATCCCAGCTACTCAGGAGGCTGAGGCAGGTGAATTGCTTGAACCCAGGAGGCAGAGGTTGCGGTGAGCCGAGATCGCGCCATTGCACTCCAGCCTGGGTAACAAGAGCAAAAAACTCTGTCTCAAAAAAAAAAAAAAAAAGAAGTTGCCTCATTTATATACTTTTCCTGCTTTTAATTATATACATATATATTTAAAATATAGAGGCGGGGTCTAGCTTTGTTGCCCAGGCTGGTTTTGAACTCCTGGCCTCAAATGATCCTCCCACCTCAGCCTCCCAAAGTGCTGGGATTACAGGTGTCAGCCACCTCATCCAGCCAATTTACATACTTTCATCTCTAGGTATGTAATGACAGAACAAGCCCAGAAACCAGAGGCAAAACCAAAAACAAACAAAAAGCCCTACCACCTATTTTATGAGGATTCACCAAAAAAAAAAAAAGGTTGGACGGGGGAAGCTCATACTCAGGCAAAATGTTATTTAAGCCCAACTGCTAATTTTAACACAGACTATTCTACCAATCTACAATTGGAAATTCCCAGTTTTTCCTTGTCACTATGGTTCCATAATCTCACATCCTTAATCTAAATTTCCCTCATTTCATTTCTCAAATGTGTTGGTTATCATTTGTTTAAATGTCAGTTCTATGTTGAATCCACAGCTGAAGACAGAGCCAAAACAGCTTTCAGTTTTAAAATATCCCTTGCTACTTAATATTATTCAATCTAATGTACTGCTACAGTCATTTTCCAGTCAGACTTCCTTTTCCAAGCAGGACATGTAGCTACATGTCCCGAGCACCTCCTCACACCTGGAGGAGGGCCTTTCTGACTCAAACTTGTTCAGAAGGTCTCCAGGGCTAGGTCTGACTCTCCAAAAGCAAGTCACAATAGGAATATTCAATAAAGGTACCCTCTCTCTCTTTTTAGAAGCTACCCTGTGGAATCTGCTTTTGTGAAGAAGCCCTTGTATTTCAGGAGAATTGACAAAATATACACATTCACATCTTCCAAATTGCCCCTTTTGAGTACTACAGGCAGGATTTATGATTTGCCATATTTTCTTTTCTTTTTTCTTTCTTTTTTTTTTTTGAGACAGAGTCTGTTCTGTCGATAAGTCTGGAGTGCAGTGGCGTGATCTCAGCTCACTGCAACTTCCACCTACTGGGTTCAAGTGATTCTCCTGCCTCAGCCTCCCGAGTAGCTGGGATTACAGGTGCCCGCCACCACATCTGGCTAATTTTTGTATTTTTAGTAGAGATGCGAGTTTCACCATGTTAGGCTGTTCCCAAACTCTTGACCTCAAGTGACCCGCCTGCCTCAGCCTTCCAAAGTGCTGGAATTACAAGCATGAGCTGTGTCCAACCAACTTGCCATATTTTCTAAGGTCTAATCCATGCCACGTTGAGAGCAACAGTTTGTACATTAGTCCCATGTCTCTTTTTGCTTTTCTTTCTTCATTGTCAATAAACATGTAAAGGACCAAAATGTTTAGGGAACCATGTTGACATACATAGGAGTGTGATGTGGTCTTTGCCCCTCACGTGCCAACAATGTCCTTGGCAGGCAGGTTTGCATGGTTTATATGTTAAGGTTCTATGCCATTAGTAAGGACACTGGGTAGTCAAGAAGGCTCTGAAAATAAAGTAACCAAAAGGTCTGAAGTCTAGACAGCCTTCTTAGAAAAACAAGACTCAGCCCTAAAAGTAAAGGTAACAAACACAGAGAAAGATGACATTCTAGAGAAGGGAAAAGAAACTAAGGTTTGGATTTCTCCTTCCTGGAATTATACTACTAAAAGCATCCTTTCCTCAAACAATTTGTAAGAAATATATCAAACCAAGCTAAGGGCATCTGGGGTTCTATGGGAAGAAGAATGATAACCAATGGCACAAAACCAGACAGCTGCTAGAAGTTATAGGGTATAAAGTGCATGGCATAGCAAGAACATTAGAAATTCATTTACAAAAAAAAAAAAAATTATTCCAGCTGGGTGCAGTGGTGCATGTCTGTAGTCTTAGCTAATTAAGAGGCTGAACAGGACTGTATATTGTTCAAGACTACCCTGAACAATATAACAGATGCCATTTCTAAAATATAAAAAAAAGAAATTTTAAAAAAAGTTTTATTCTTTCTGACAACCCCAACAAAGGGGGAAATTACCTAAGTGTTAGATATAATTGGATCAAGATTTCTAAGAAAATTAGACTCTCATAGTCCAGTGATTCTCCAAAAACTTAAGACGGATCCTTTTAGGTACAACGTTCATATATTGAGTAATTCCTTTTTTTAAAAAATTATTTATTTATTATTTAGAGAGAGTCTTGCTCTTGTTGCCCAAGCTGGAGTGCAATGGAGCAATCTCAGCTCATTGCAACCCCTGCCTCTTGGGTTCAAGCAATTCTTCTGCCTCAGCCTCCCACGTAGCTGGGACTACAGGCAAGCACTACTATGCCTGGCTATTTTGTATTTTTAGTAGAGATGGGGTTTCTCCATGTTGGTCAGGCTGGTCTCAAACTCCCGACCTCAGGTGATCTGCCTACCTCAGCCTCCCAAAGTGCTACAATTATAGGTGTGAGCCACTCTGTCTGGCCCATGTATTAATTCTTACTGTTCATGGTTTTAACATAGGAAAAATAAAACTAATCTGCACCGGGTTTCCCAAAGTCTTCTTTTAAAGTTTTCAGAATAAACATTCTGGGATATTTGGCCTGTAGAAGTCATGTCTGCACACTGAGGGATATGGCTGGAGTCAGGGAGAAAGGAGTTGAGCTCCTTCAGTTTCCAATTTCCAACAAAGATTTAAAAGCAAAAGAAAAAAATGTCACCTTAAGAAAAGGAAAATCAAACTGCTACAATTTATTTAACTTTTTCTTTCACAGGAAATATAAGTATGTAATGTAAACACTGACACAGTACAAGGATCAGGAAGACAAGTGAATTGGACAATACTCTTGCTTTAACACTTTACCACTTCCTGATTTCATTTGCAGCATGAATTACATGGTTATCTAGACTGGCGAAAGTAAAGGCAACATTCAGATTTACAGATAAACCAAAGAGCCTCTGAAATCCAACAATGCCGTAGGGAAGTCTGATCTTTCTGTTGCAAAAAAAAAAAAAAAAAAAATTAAAGCTGGGTATACATCCATTTATCCATTTATCCAAGGCATTTAATGTAAGAGCATAAGAATGCACTGATTAACACATGAGCTTTAATATGCATGTAGAGGGAAAGATTAAATTGTGCCTCTTTCCCTCTTCAGAGAAAATGAAATTAACCAAATTAAAAGCAGAGCTGCCTGATACTGGCCAGAAGACTATATAATCACAGTGATTTATTATTTCAATAAATCCCAGGAAATGCGAAACACAATAAATGATTGCCATTGGAGCTTTACCCAAATGGTCACTCCAGACCTCATGTTGCAGAATCGTATCAGGTTTTCAAGGTTCTCTCCTAGAAATCCAAAGTTGGAAAAATGACCCAAATAAATGGTTGGGATAAAGGCCATCATTATTTAAAACAAAGGGCCTATTTCCAAACTTGAATTCAGTAATAAAGAGTACGGGCTGCAATTTTCTCTTATTATCCCAAAAGATTAAAATAATCTGTCTTTCTTATCATATGACACCTACCAGTCAGGAAGTAAATTTTGATAATAGATGCCTACCGTGTAGACTGGTTCACTAATGGTACTCAGCATCACAAGATTTGGGGGTTCAGATAAGGCTGCTTCAGAGCTAGAAATCAGAGAACCATGAATTTGCCAACTACACCTACTCCCTCACTCAGCCCATGATCTAAGGCTATTAAAAACTATCTGGGCAAGGTGCTGTTGCTCATGCCTGTAATCCTAACATTTTGGGAGGCCAAGGCAGGCGGATCACGAGGTCAGGATTTCCAGACTAGCCTGGTCAACATGGTGAAACCTCATCTCTACTAAAAATACAAAAATTAGCCGAGTGTGGTGGCACATCCCTGTAACCCCAGCTACTCAGGGGTCTGAGGCAGGAGAATTGCTTGAACCCAGGAGGCAGAGGTTGCAGTGAGCCAAGATGGCACCATTACACTCCAGCCTGGGCAACAAGAGCAAGACTCTGTCTCGGGAAAAAAAAAAAATTCTCTGTAGTCCCATATCCCTCTATACTCAACAGTCTACAGAGAAATAAGTATCTTGCATGCTTCCTCATTATGGCAAGAAGAACAGTCAGCTCAGGCTGAACACTGATTTTTTGAGGGAGAAATGCTATTCTGAGCAGGTGTTTTGAAATTATTTTTCCCAGGCAAAGCCATCCTTCCTATATTACAAAGTGATGAAGATTTTTTAAAAATGTGTTTATAAAATATCACACGAAAAACACCTTCACAGCAAAAATCATTCATTTCTCTATTCCTTACCTATAATATTTGGTACAGTGTTCTGCCATTTATTGTGCTCTCGCTAAAGAGATACATAGAACAGAGAGATCCAAAATCAGGTTTTAAAAGGGATAGGGAACTGATATTTCTATTTTTAAGGAATCTCTGCATCAACCCTGGCCCTTGTGCTATATTATAATTAAGGTTTTTTTTTTGTTGTTGCTGTTGTTTGTTTTTTAAAGCAAGATGATAAAACAGATCAGCATTATACTACTTTGATTAGAAAAAAGCCACCCATCACAGATGGGCCTCCATTCCTGGATTCTTATTTACTTCTGCAAAACATAGAGGGCTGAGGGCCTTAGCTACTGTGAAGAACAGCACACCATTACTGCAAGTAAGGCAAGATGTTTCACTTATAATTCTCTGCTCTGTAGTCAGATCATATGTGCCAATTTTACTTTGGAAAACAGTAATCATGTATTGAGAATTAAATGCCAGAAACCTTTCAAGCAAGTGGGAGCCCACTCTATCTTCACACACTCCCCAGTTATTCTTCTGTACTGTCTAGACCTATTACCTCTCCAGTACTTCAACTCTGTCTCTGATATTCCTGCAGAGGAGATCTCAAAGAGGAGCTTTTTAATATGGTAAGTAGCCATTTCTTCTGTTATCGCTTCTTTTCTCCTGTCTTGGCATCAGTTCCTTTTCTTTGAAAAAATGAAAGATGGGGCTAGGTGTGTTGGCTCATGCCTGTAATCCCAGCACTTTGGGAGCCCAAGATGAGTGAATCACCTGAGGTCAGGAGTTCAAGACCAGCCTGGCTAACATGGTAAAACCCTGACTCTACTGAAAATACATAAATTAGCCAGCATGGTGGCACACACCTGTAATCCCAACTATTTGGAAGGCTGATGCAGAAGAATCACTTGAACCCAGGAAGCAAAGGTTGCAATGAGCCAAGATCGTGCCACTGCACTCCAGCCTGGGTGACAGAATGAGACTCTGTCTCAAAAAAAAAAAAAAAAAAAAAGAAAATGAAAGACAGAACTTCTGAAAAACAGATTCATCCTATTTGCAGATATTCAAAACAGTTACCCTTAGGGAAATAAGGCACCTATAATGTGACCCCAGATTGACTACAGGTATAGTACTGATATTTGGATCCTGTGTGGCTGCATAAAAACATGACTTCCAAACATAAGCACTACTTTCCTGCCACAGGTCAGGCTGTATCTCACAGCACTGTTGTGCTGGTCTAACATGCAAGCAGACTGAAGGCTCCAAAGAACTCAAAGAAATACAGATACAATTCTTACTTAAAACAGAAAGTTACAATAACAGTTGGGTCTCTGGTTAATCTCCTCAGTCCTTTCAAGTAATGTTTTCATGGTTGAGTGAGGAATATGGAGGAGCAATAGATGAGAGTGAGGAAATCTAGGTTCCGGTCCCAGCTCTATCACTTACTGGCTGTATGACCTCAGGCAACTACCCTTACCTCCCCTCAACCCCCACCCCCAGACTGTTTCCTTATCTGTAAAATGGGGATACAAATCACCTGCCTTGTCTACCACATGTTGTGACTGTGAGGATCAAATGAGATGCTATGAAAGTGCCTTGTAAACTGCAGTACTGACTGTAAAGGCTTTTAAAATAAGAGTATATACTTAGTACATTTTAATTAGGTCCTTATCATTGCCTATTTGACTAGAAGTGTCCCATGCAGGATGTGCCTCACAACAGACAGAACTGAAAAATAGGTGCTGTAAATATACACTGGCCCTTTTCACTGGGGGTGGTTTGAAAAAAAAGAAAATTCTTTTTTTTTTTTTTTTTGAGACAGAGTTTTTTGCTCTTGTTACCCAGGCTGGAGTGCAATGGCGCGATCTCGGCTCACCGCAACCTCCGCCTCCTGGGTTCAGGTAATTCTCCTGTCTCAGCCTCCTGAGTAGCTGGGATTACAGGCACGTGCCACCATGCCCAGCTAATTTTTTGTATTTTTAGTAGAGATGGGGTTTCACCATGTTGACCAGGATGGTCTTGATCTCTCGACCTTGTGATCCACCCGCCTTGGCCTCCCAAAGTGCTGGGATTACAGGCTTGAGCCACCGCGCCTGGCCCAAAAAAGAAAATTCTTAATTTCCTCAGCAATGGCTTCAGAATACATTACTTAAAAATGTGATGTCATCCAAATCTACCAATTGATAGAATTAATTTTCTCCAAATATATCCTATACAACTGTAGTTTGGTCTGTTGATATCTTCACACAGAGGAGTCTAGAATTCAAAAAGTAGTGTGCTAACACTAAACAAAAAAAAATACAACCAAATAGTTACAGTTGGTTGTAAAGGAAATAAAAATTAGAGGCATCATTATAATAAAATTAGGTCACAGTTCCTCAAATGGTCACCTTTTTCCTGAGATAGCTCCAGGACAGGGTCCTAGTCCTGTGAAGTGCTTTACAGAAGCTTAGTCTTGCTGGAGGTGAAAAGGACATGTGGGTTGGCAACTAGGCTGTGTTCATTTACAGCACGAGGATTTGAACAAGAAGGTCTGCTGCTAGGAGCTGCCAAACAGCTTTGGTGGAGAAGCCCATATGGCCTAAGAGAGGCTTGCTAGTACTCAGATGCCAGGTCAGAGTGTGGAGAACAGCTTAACACAGCCATCCAGTCCCACGATTTTCAATTCTTCCTGTAAGTTGGTTCTGCTCTTCTCCGGTCTAGTAAATAATTGAACAGAGGAAAAACAATGAGATGCAGAACAATATATCTAACTGTGCATTAGGGCCTTTCTCTGCCTAGCTGCACAAAGTTTACATGCAGAACAGAGACACACACAAGGAGCAAATGCGACTTTGACTAGACTTTGAAATAGACTTTGATTAGCCCAGAGCACCCAGATTCCAGTACTCATGTCAGAAGACTTTTATTACAAATGTTACAGGCGATGACTTGCAGGGAATCAGGTCACTGGAATCACTAGTTAACAAGACGGTTGTCCTTTGGGGCCACAGGTGTATTGCTAACCTCCACTTTTCTTCCTGATTTGCTTTGCTTTCCGGGGTTTGAGGATGGTATAGTTTACGTATACTGTATACTGATCTGACAGGAAGGGGACATAGAATGCCCGCAGCAGCTTTGAAGATCTGAAAAATAAGGGTTAAAAAAAAAAGAATTGTATCATTTGGGAGAATTTACTAATGGTACTAAAAGTGATTAAAAGAAATAAACTAAGCTCTGTAGTAATGATTTTATTTTATTCAAGTGGTACAGAAAAGCTTATTACTTAGGTACTAGATCACAGTGAAAGACTTAATCAAGGCCAAGTACCTTGTCACCTATGTGAAAATTTATTATTGTCCCTAAGAAGCCCTCAGTATACCCTTGCTAATAGCTCTAGGTATTCATTTTGCATTAGAATGTGCCACAGAAAAATTCCACATCAATCAAAGGACTGCTATTGCTGAAATAATTTTTTTTTTTTTTTTTAAGAGTCTTGCTCTTTCACCAGGCTGAAGTGCAGTGGCGCAATCTCGGCTCACTGCAACCTCCGGCTCCCGGGTTTAAGCGATACTTCTGCTTTAGCCTCCTGAGTAGCTGGGACTACAGACATGAGCCGCCATGCCCGGCTAATTTTTGTGTTTTTAGTAGAGATGGGATTTCACCATATTGGTCAGGCTGGTTTCAAATCCTGACCTCGTGATCCGCCCGCCTCAAGCCTCCCAAAGTGGTGGGATAACAGGCAAGAGCCCCTGCGCCCGGCCCCTGAAATGAATTCTTAACATTAAAATGATTTCTGCATCTAAGACACTGGAGGGATTCAAAGTACTCAAATGACCTGGACTCCAGCTCTAAGTTTTCCTGGAGAGGGGAAGAAAACTACATCCTGGGTGCTTATGCATACTGTTCCAGTATTGTCTAAGTCAAGGAAAGAGTCTACACACAAGTTCATGTTGTGACAATATCTCCCTGGTAAATTCTAATCATCTACTTATTACTGAAATATAAGAATGGAAAAACTAAATTTCTCATGAATTTCTGAAGAATGTGAAAAGTGCTTATACTTTGAATATATTATCAGCCGGGCGTGGTAGCTCACATCTGTAATCCCAGCATTTTGGGAGGCCAAAGCAAGGTGTGGCTCTCTTGAGGTTAGGAGTTCAAGACCAGCCTGACCAATAAGGTGAAACTCTGTCTCTACTAAAAATACAAAAAAATTAGCTGGGCGTAGTGGTGCATGCCTGTAATCCCAGCTACTCAGGAGGCTGAGGCAGGAGAATCACTTGACTCGGGAGGCAGAGGTTGCAGTGAGCTGAGATCGTGCCACTGCACTCCAGCCTGGGTGACAGAGTGAGACTCCATCTCAACAAAAATAAATGTAAAAAACAGATGAATAAATATATTATTTAATCCATTGGATAATCCTATGAGGAAGTGGCATTATTATCCCTATTTTATAAATGGGAAATTAAAGCTTAAACTTGCTCAGGGTTACAGAGTAAGTGACAGAGGCCTCATTCAAATCCAGGTTTGACTCGAGAGTCTGCACTCTTAACCATTATGGTTTATCATGCATCCCAGGAATAACCTAACAGGATTTGTCATTTCCTAGAAAAAGTTGTAGTGATAGTTTTAAATTCCGTATGGAGTATTACTTCCTGACTGTGATTTCTGAGTCTGAAAATCAAAAGCTGGCCTAGTTACTGCCATCCTGAATGAGGTAGCTGAAGGTGTTCCACTGCCAGTCCTTTATCAAATTCTAACTTGTAAATGTCATGTCAACGTGGCATTTGTACTGGCAGCCTACCCTTGTATTTGGCAGACTCCTACAATGCCTGCATACAATGATACTGTGCTTGGCATGCACGCCTCTTAGAGATTCTTCCCAACTAGGATGCTGGCAGTGCCCTGTGCTCTGTGAGATTCACTTCACTTCAACAGAGATTCACGTCACTTCAACAGTGAACTTTATCAAGGGCTTTGATAGAGAATGGAGGTTTGGAGAAGAGACACAAGACAAAGCAGGCTCCAGCAAATAAAATGAACAGGAGAAAGAAGTATTTATCCTAGTCAAGGAGAAGTTAATGGCCAGGCACAGAGGCTTATGCTTGTAATCCCAATATTTTGAGAGGCTGAGGTGGGAGGATCCCTTGAACCCAGGAGTTTGAGCCCAGCCTGGGCAACAAAGTAAGACCTGTGTTTACAAAAAATGTTTAAAAATTAGCCTGGCAGTTGGGAGGCCGAGACGGGTGGATCAACAAGGTCAGGAGTTCCAGATCAGCCTGGTCAACATGGCAAAACCCCATCTCTACTAAAAATTAAAAAAAAAAAAATTAGCCGGGTATGGCAGTGCATGCCTGTAATCCCAGCTACTCGGGAGGCTGAGGCAGAACTGCTTGAACCCGAGAGGCAGAGGTTGCAATGAGCCAAGACCGAGCCACTACAGTCGATCCTGGGTGGTAAGAGCAGAACTCTGCCTCAAAAAAAAAAAAAAAAAAATAGCGTGGCAGGGTGGCATGCATCTGAAGTCCCAGCTATTCTGAAGTTTGAGCTGGTAGTATGGCATATGCCCAGGAGGTTGAGGCTGCAGTGAGCTGTGATCATGCCACTGGACTCCAGCCTGGGTGACAGGGCAAGATATTGTCTCAAAAAAAAAAAAAAGTTAATTTACTCTTTTCATCTACACTGCACAAACAGGGTGAAGAGTAGAAACAGAAAGATGCAAAGTAGAGCAAACTCCTATAAGCTTTAGTTAAAAAAAAAAAAAGTATAAAACGAACAAGTATAATTTCTATTCTGGTTGACTCTACAATAAAAGCTTCATTAATATAGTCATTGTATATTTTTGGTCAACTCAGTCCTTGGTATAACCTCACGGTCCACTGGACCCAATTTTAGTGTTTGACTTTCTTTTTTTTTTTTTTTTTCAAGAGACAGTGTCTCACTATTTTGCCCAGGCTGGCCTTGAACTCCTAGGCTCAAGCAGTCCTACTGCCTCGATCTTCCAAAGTGCTGAGATTATAGGCATAAGCTACCTCTCCTGTCCCAGGGTTTTACTTTCTTTTTGTAGCAATTCCTTACTATATGGGAGAATTGCTAGTTCATAATTTCATTCTTTTTAGAGTCTCCCAAAAAACAAAGATAAATTATATTTTTATTTACTTATTTTGAGACAGGGTCTTGCACTGTTGCCCAAGCTAGAGTACAGTGGCACGATCATAGTTCACTGCAGCCTCAACCTCCTGAGCTCAAGCAATCCTCCTGCCTCAGTTTCCTAAGTACCTGGGCTACAAGTGTGCTTGGCTAACTTTTTATTTTTCATAGAGATGGGATTTCATTATGTTGTCCTGGCTGGCCTTGAACTCTTGGGCTCAAGGCTGCCTCAGCCTCCCAAAGTGTCAGGATTACAGGCATGCACCACCATGCCTGGCCTTATATTTAAAAATAGAATAAAACTCATTCTATCTTGTAATTACCATAAGGGCCCACTTTTTATAAATCTAAGGTACATTACAGGATCTTGGTGATCTTATTTTTTTCTGTATCTTGAATTATTTACAACTATGCTTTAAAAATGCAATTGTAAAATAAGTAATCATGATTGCATTATCCTTCCATTTTTTTTATGGCATTGCCCAAAATATTGTGTCATCTTTAAATAAGGTATAAATGATTGGTGACACTATATTTGTAGTCTGCATTTAACTTTCATTGAACATAATTCAGAATCCAACATTTTTAAGTTACTGCTAATGAGAAGAAAATGGACAGAGGAAGATATTTCATGATTCTTAGACAAATCGGAAGATGAATACAAAGGGACCAATAGCAGGCATCCAGACCTAATGATGATAGTGAAATTGATCTTACAAGCAAAATGTCAGACTAAGAGTCTTCATATGACAATACACTAGATGAATTTCTTCAAACTCAAGAACTGATGAGCAAACAATATATTTCTAAGGACAAAAAGGAAATAAAGTATTCTTGTATAGTCAGTCATTCAGCAAGAAAGACTTTATCATATAATGTTTTATAATAAGACCATGGATCACAGTGTTATGCTAAAATGACATGTCGCTATATTCTTTCATCTTTTATGCTATTTGTATGTCAAATTTTACTTGATACAGTTCATAAGTGAACAAATGCTGAAGGCAGGTATGCAAAGGTAGAATACAGATGGAAGAATAAAACTGGAAATATACAGATGATGATTCTTTTTTTTGAGATACGGTCTCACTCTGTGGCCCAGGCTGGAGTGCAGTGGCATAATCTCGACTCACTGCAGCTTCGACCTCTCGGGCTCAAGCGATCGTTCCACCTCAGCTTCCTAAGTAGCTGGGACCACAGGTGCATACCACCACACCTGGCTAATTTAAAAAATTTTTTTTCATACAGGTAAGTCTCATTATATTGCCCAGGCTTGTCCTGAACTCCTAGGCTCAAGCAATCCTTCTGCCTTGGCCTCCCAAAGTGCTGGAATTACAGGCATTAGCCAACATGCCCAGCCTATAAAATAACTTGAAAATATAGAAAACACAGAGGGTCCATTGGACTGAGATATTTCTGAAATTGTCAGAAAATGATCTTGGACTGATTCCATTCAGAATTTGGAAAAATAAATTTCCTGATCACCAGGTATGAATAAAAGAGAGAGGGGAAAAAAAAGAATTTAAAAAAGAAACTATCTTGGTCTGCACATGGGATGTTTCATCATCAAAAACAATGACTAGTTGCTTGGGTGCAATGGCTCACTTGAGGTTAGGAGTTCAAGACCAGCCTGGCCAACGTGGTCAAACCCTGTCTCTACTAAAAATACAAATATTAGCTGGGCATGGTGGTGGGTGCCACTCGGGAGGCTGAGGAGGAGAATTGCTCGAACCTGGGAGATGGAGCTTGCAGTGAGCCAAGACTGTGCCACTGCACTCCAGCCTGGGTGACAGTGTATGAATCTGTCTCAAAAACAAAAGAAAATAAAACACTGACTAGGCAGGTGTTGTGGTTTGCTCCTGTAATCCTGGGTATGTGAAAGAATTGCTTGGGCTCAGGAGTTCAAGGCCAACCTGGGCAAAACATAGCAAAACCGCTTTTCTAAAAAATAAAAAAATAACTGGCTGGACTGAAATAGAACAAGGACTACCAT